TTTTTTAAGTTTCTTATTATAGAACTGAAGAAAATATAGCTAAAAAAAATTTAACATTATATTATAAAAAAATGAAATCATTCATAATTAATTTTTGTTATTATTAACATTTAATATTAATTGTCTATAATTTTTTATCATTTATTATAGACATGTTCATTATTGATTAATGAGTAGTAATAATATTATTTTAAAAAATGGAAAATTGCAAGGAAAATACTAATTTTAGCCAAATGCACACTACTGCTCGTATATATTGAAACTGTGCAATTTTGCCTTACGAATTTTTATACGGCTTGCAAAATCAAAGTTTAAGAAGCTGCAAAATTGATTTATTATAGATAATTCAAACTATGGCCTTGGAATATATGTGCAGAAATAGTATTGCATTTGGAAACTTTGGAGTATTTATATGGATATTCAAGTGAAAGAAGAAAATTGTGGTAATAATGTTTGCCATTGCTGTAAATGATATGAAATTGGATATCAATTAAATGATTTGCTCTCACTACTATCCACCACCCTGCTTGCCTGCTTGCCTACTTTTTTAGAATTTTCAATATTTATCGATTTCTTATTTGGATTGATAAAAAAATTTGAAAACATTTTGCAATAATCACAATATTTGAATATCATTGGTATATTCAAAGTTTATACATAACTAATAGGTAGTAATTCGTATTCTAATGAATACATGAAAAAAATGTTTAAATGATGATTTTTATACATTTTTATACCCTGTCAATAATTTCGGTAATATTTGGGGTATTAACGTAAGTATTACAATATAAATACAAAAACAAAATTTAAAAATCTTAAAAGATATGTTAACATTAACAATATAATCAAGTAACAAATATAACTTAAAATGAATTTAATCATATTATTTTTTCATATCAATTGTTAACATTAATGATAATTTGTTATAAAAATTAATAAATGCAAATCATTTATTTCATATATACATTTTTGAATTTAATATTATTTTATATTAATTAATAAATTTGATCTGCGTTCAGTATTTTGAAACAATGCTCTAATTAATTGTTTAACTTGGGATGCTGTAAATTCTCGTGCTAGTGGTCCTTTACCACTATCCCATCTAACTTCGATTTCTTTGAGTGATGCACCTAATACTTGAATTAATTCTAAAAATTTTTCCCATTTTTTAACATATTGATAAATCTTTTGATGATCCTAAAAGTATAATATTGTTTTTAATATTATCTTCAAAAAATATTATTCAATTTAATTTTACAGGAATTTTTCTGTGATATTACATATGAAATAATGTTTTAAATTAATTTTAATGTAATTTTTTTATATAGATTAAATTAATAAAAGTTTTTATTTAATAAAAGAAATTAATAAAGAACTAATAAAAAAAAGTTATATCTTTTTAGCGTGAACTTACCGGAAATATTTGTGGTGCACGCTTAACAATTAAATTAAATAATGTTACTAATTCAGTTGCAACATCAGCTGGAATGTCTTCAACAGATAGTACTCTGATTATTAAATCTTCAATCATTGAATTCATAATGCATCCTAAAATATAGAATTATCAATTAATTAAATAAAAAATATAAAACATAAAAATAAAAAAATATAAAACAAAAAATATGAACTGACCTACAGCTCTACAATAAATGTTCTCAGGTAATACATCTAGCCAAACTGTTTTCAGTAATTCTAATTGCCTATTACATTGTCTCATTGCACGTTCAGTATTAGGATGCAATTCAGAAGTTTGACCCAATGCAGATAAACCTTATTTGAAATAAAACATTTAAATTATTAATTAAAAAATATAAAAAAAAAAAAAAATATTAAAATATATAAATGAATACTAACCAGATTCTTTAAGAATATCAAAAATAATATTTCGTTGGTATTTCATATGTTCTAAAAAACATGATGATCCAACATCTCTTAATACTAATACTTGATCCGCAAAAGTTAAATTAAGATTTTGCAAGGATTTCGGTAATTTATCTTTATATTCGAATCCTAATGTGAGAAGATGATGTGCAAGATACATACAATTGTTATGAAACATAGCTAAATAAAACATACATATGATTAAAATAAAAAAAAATATTATTTTTTTTTAGGTATTTTATCTATTAAATTATTTGTTTCTTACCAACTTGTTGCGGTATCGTTTCTAAAAATTTTCGATGATGTTCTGGTACCAATCCTGCATACATTTCAAAAAAGTTTCTACACGTATAAAATAATTGTATCGCACACGTATCCGAACTACAACAAGCTTCGTCCAAGATATTTCTTGCGAGATCTAGTATTTCTTTTGCATTTTTACTAAAATATAATTCAGGATATAAATTTTTTTTAACTTCATTAAAAAATTTTGAAATAATTTTAATACCTTATTTGGCATTTTGGAAGCTGAAAAGTATTGTCATTAATTTTTTTATTAATTTTTATCTCATTGTAATCATCTGTATCTTCTAAAAATTCAAGTGGTTCCTAAAATTTATATGAAATTAATAAAAATTTGTATGAAATTAATAAAAATTTGTATCAAATTTATATATTTTATTCTAATATAAATGAACTTGCCTGTGGTTCATATATAATAGAATCATGTAAATCTTTCTTCATAATATTTCGTGCTTTTGCTAATAAATCTTGACAAATTTTTTTTATAAAGAGTTTATCAATATCCTTTGTATATTCTGATAAAAAAAGTTGATCATTTGTAATAAAACCTAAAATATTGAATATTGATTGTTATAATTATATTTAATTTTAAAAAAATGAAAAAAAAAACTTACAAATTTCCTACCAATTTTAACCAAGAAGTATTGAAAATCATTGATTGCCTGAACAATAGGTGTGAAATTTTTTAAATCGGCACTTGATGTTGGTGTAATTCGTGAGATACAATCATTTTTTAATGATATTGACAATTGTTCAAGCAAATGAGGTTGTATTTCTTTCAGGAATGTTTTATCATCATAAATTGTAAATTGAAAATGCTGATGAAGAAACTTAAACAATAATTCTAAATTATATAGCACACTTTTATAACCAGACGATTTCTTTTTTTTAAATATTTCGACTGTGAAAACTTTTTCACCAATTACATATACAGAACAATCGTCATTAATAATTGGATTAATTATATAATCCATAAGTGTTATTGAAAATTTATGCAAATGATTTGAGAGATTATCAATATGATGCAAACTTTGAATTAAATCTTGTATATCATCGAATTCATTTTTTATACTTAATGAAACAGCTTTTGCATTTTGATCATCAATACCTGTCCAACAAATTCGCTCATGTAATAATGACAATGTATCAGATAAAAAAGATGTATAAAGATTTAAATATTCTTCTTCAATTGCTGTATAAATATCAAGATCACGTAAATCAGTTTGTGAATTATACAAAATAGTTTGCATATGACATAATGTTTTAGCTACTTTCACATATAGTTTTTCTTCTTGATAATTTTTAATAGATTTAATACATTCATGTAAATTTAAAAGTTGATTAGAAAGTTGTAACATAATATTTGATTCTTTTAATGCTTGAGAAAGAGTTTTTAATTCTTTTGTGGAACCAGATAATTCTATTTTGACCTGGAATAAATAATATAATATGATATAACTTATGATATAACATTTTAACAATTTATATTTTACATTTTTAATATTATATTTTATTAAACATACATGATCATCTATTCTCTTTTGCAATACATTCATTTCCTCAAGTAATTTTTCTCCTTTTAATACCAAATGCTGATCTCTTGTAAGTTTTGATGTAAATTCAACATAATTATCATCCATGAAATCTTTGACATCATATTTTAATTTTGTTATTTCTTTCTGTATTTCTGATATTTTTTCATGTAAATTAATTTTTTCTAATTTTCCTAATAAAAAAAACATTTTAATTTTTTATAAAACACATTTTTTATTTTTGAAATGTAAATAAAAATCACAAATTATATTTAAGAAATATTTATTTAAGAACATGTAGGAATTAATGATATATTTTTTATATATTTAAACTTTTTCCTAACTAATTTTATATTTTATAGTTTTCATATTAGTAATATTATTAATATGTTATTAATATAATTAGTAATTAATATAATTAGTAATTAATATAATTACATTTGACTATATCATATATTACATTTTGTATACATACCTGCTGTAACTAATACATCAGTTAAAAATGATGTCATATTGATAAAATTTTTTTTAAATATTTAGATTATTAGAATTAAAGACTAGCTAATTGTTTCACTATTAACTTAATATTAAATATATCTAATTTGTATAATAATATTTATACAATATTAAATTGCAAAAAAATAAAATAACCTGCACTGCACAGATTTATATGATGATAATGCATTACCATAAACTATAGAATATATAGATATAAAATAGATTTATCATCTATCATCTAATGACATTGATATGTCAGTTATGTAACTTGTAAATAAAAATAAAAAATATGTAG